TGGCCGAGTTGAGACATGCTGAAAGAACCCAGCTTGTTCAGCCTCATACATTCAGGCATTGAAGGGAACACCAAAACCGCGTCAAGCCTGCCCCTTTCCTTCTCCACCGCTGACTTCACCTTCAACGCCAGCTCCTCCACGAAAATCAATGACCCAATGAAGATATTCGCGTCCTCCAAATCCTTACAGAAGGACTTGTAGGTGTTACCGTCTCTTAGCTCCTCCACCAAGTAACCCACAACCTCAAACGAAGCGAAGCCGCCAGTTGAATTCAGGGTTCGAACAGCTGAAGTAAGGGATGACTGGTATTGGGCTTCTAACACTACATACACTACTTTCACGGTGGGGAGGCCCTGAGGATTGGCCGGCACGATTCTGCGAACCTCCTGACTGGTCTGTGTGAAAAGGCCGTTCGCGATTGCTGTACACCGGAGCTTCTTGGGTGGTCTTGCTGAGCTGATTTGGGTCGGTTTTTTGGGGAGGAACCCGTGGAGGAAGAATGGGTTTGGATGTTCTTTTGCTATTTTGGTGAGTGAAAATGGTGATGATACCAGAGAAGAAGCCATTGTTAGTAGCTCTGCTTACTTTCTTGGCATCCAGTAGAGAAATTCAAATTGGAAGAAGAAGAAGAAGAAGAAGAAAATCAAGAGAAGTAGTGAAACATATCTGTAATTACAGAAATGAGGAGAAGAAAATATATATACATCTCCTCCTTCCGGGGATGAGCAAAGATGGCGCCTTTGAATGGGAGGTAGTGAGACGCTGAGAGCAGAATGGGATAGTGAAACAGTGGGGTGATCTTGTGAGTGGTAGGAGAAAGGGACACGTGTAAGAAGAGTGTATTTGCATTGCAGAAAGTGATTCTGAGGTTGTGTTTTTTGGTGACGATTTTCTTTTATCTTCTTCGAGTCGTGTGGGGTAATTGTACTTCTGTAGATGGGTTATCTTGTTGCGGGCCATATGGTGAAGTTTGTTGGCTTCCTATTGGTCGGTACGGATTCCCTGTAAGCGATGTGAGGGAATGAATGTACGATATTGATAGTTCAATACCTGTTTATTGTGACACCAAAAATAAAAATAAAAGATTGAGGATTGAGATGTATTTTTTACATTTTACACCGTAATTATTTTGTTTATAGTCGTATTACTTGTGAAACGTTGATTAAAATTTGATTAAGAGTATTTATTAACGTTGAAATTGATTGAATGGATTGAATTTATTTAAATTGATTGAAATTCTTACTGCGACTAAATTTTTGGAAAAAATGATAGTAATAATCTCAACTATTGGTTGTCCGTTCATAATAATCTCAACTATCGATTATTTCAGAATAATCCCAACTTTAGGGACCTTCCGCCAATAATAGTCCTTATAAATAAATTCTTGTAGTTTCTAAAATGGATGAGAAGAGATATAGCAAGTAATCCCTATAAATAATCCTAACTTTTACTCCCTCGTTCTTTTTTATTAGTCCTTCTTTCCTTTTTGGGACGTTTTTTTTATTTGTCTCCTTTCCCTTTAAGGAAAGTTTTTGAGAAAATACCCCAACTTTTATTACTTTTACCCCACTTACTTTTTACAAACTATTTTCTCTTTCTTACTTTACCATCACTTTACTCTTCTTAATAAACTCTCTTTCCTACTTTATCATCATTTACTCTTTTTAATATACCCTCTTTCCTACTTTATCATTTACCCTACACACTCTATATTTACTCTACTACTTTATTATTAAATCCCGTGTCAAACTCTAAGGGGACTAATAAAAAAGAACGGAGAGAGTAATTTTTACGCTTAATTTCTATTTAAAATTCACTTGTTATAGGAGGTAATATCTTGTCATGGGCCATTATTGGCGGATGGTCTATATAGTTGGGATTATACAAAAATAATCAATAGTTGGGATTATTGTCAGCGGACGGGCAATAGTTGAGATTATTATTTTCAATTTTTCCTAATTTTTTTAAATTTTAAAAGTATTATACTTAAAATATATTATATTAATTAAAAATTTACATGAAAAATAAGTAAAGCAAGCTTCTTCTATAATTTCAATTAATGCATCTGCAAAACTAACTTTGGTCTTACTTTTAGTAAAATTTGTTCTTTTTTTGGATGAAATGTAAGTATATAGACATCATTAGAAAGAGTACATATGTACATAAAAAAATATCAAGAGCAAAACCAAGAGATATCCTTACATAGGATCTCCAAACACCTCAAAAATAGATGCAAATCAGCCACTGAACCTAAGCACACACAAAAGTGACAGGGCTAACTAGATAAGTAAGGACTAACTAGTTAAGTCAAAAAATGATCAAGATATGTGGGTATATGCTAAAATGCTATAGAGTCTAATATACTATGTATTTTATTCTTGCCAAAACTTCTTCTATCCTTAGATCTACTCCATCAAATCTGGTAACATTGCTTACCTCAATATTCAATAGATAGTGTACATAAAAGCAATACGAGCAACCTTTGCTTTGATTGTTGCTCCCTTGGATTCCTTCTTGATCCACTTTATAGAGCTCAACTATATTGACGTGTTAATCTAACAAGTGTACTCAATTAACACTAAAAAATCAAGCTTGTGTATTTAAAAATATCAAATGAAATATAGTGTACTCTTTACTTCACCTCATACAAGTTGATGTACTCAGTTGACCCTTTCCTTCTACTATTATTATTAAGTTAGATTCTATGGTACTCATAAGGTACCATACCTTTGTCCACATGAACCAATGAGAATGTAGAAGTTGAATTATTTAAATCTAAATTAAAAATGATAAAATGATGTGGTCCAATCAAATAAATGATAGGTACGGTATCCCATATTTTAGAAAGGTACCAGAGTTGTCACCTATTATTAATTCCCAGTTTATTTTTACGAAACATGGAAATCATCTCAGCGCACATTGCAATTTGCAATCATAACATTGTGAAGGAAGTATGATAAATCCCATATTCCCATGTCTTACTTAGAGCATGTTTGGTAGACATAAGTCTACGCCTTCTAGCTTTTGTATTGTTTAAAAAATCTCTAAAAGCTTCTAGTTGTATGTTTGACATGACAAATTTTAAGAGTTTTCTAAAAATTAAAAGATCTTTTTTGAGATGCTACGGGGAGTAGCATCTGAGAAAAGTCTGTGACTTTTAGTATTAATTCGTCCTAACGGCTTGTATACCAAACAGAACTAAATCAAACAGTCACCTTCTTACCAAATATATACCACCTTTTCTTTTTAAGATCTTTTTTGTCACTAGAAGCTAACAGTTACTAAAAAGTTCACAAAAGTACCTTTTCAGCTAGTTGTGCCAAACATACCATACGACGGATGAGATAACCAGACCCGTATGATAAGGTGAGATAGGAGGTGTTTGGAACCGATTCTGCTTCTGTTTCTTTTTTAAAGCAAAAGCAGAATCGGAATCAGTTTTCAGAAGTTGGTCTCCCCCAACTTCTGGAAAACTGATTCTAGGAGTAAATTAGAGCACCAGAACACACCAACTTCTGTTTCTACTCCCTGAGGGAACAGACGTGGCTTTAACAATCACATCCAAACGCACCCATAATAATGATGAATTACATATACAAACCACCACAAACTAAGTAGCGTATACAAACGCAGTCCCGAAGAGATGGGTTCATTTCTGTTGTTGAAATACATATGCAAACGACCTCTAAAGTAATAGATTCTTACCTAGTTCGAGAAGAACAACGAAATGGAAACACTTGACTGACGTCAGAATCTCCAAATTCTGGACGAACCAAATGAAAACCCTGCACAGACCTATGCATCGTGTGCATGATTTATGTTCCAAAGATATTTTCGTACTATCAGAAAAATATTTCATCAAAATCACTTTTTTACCAAATACTCAAACTTTTTACATTTTAAGTTAAATTACTTTTATTTTCAAACACTATATACCATCCCTCCGTTCTCTATTAGATGTCCCTATAGGGGTTGACACAAGTTTTAAGAGGAAAATAATAGGGGTAATGTAAAAGATGTAATTGTTGTTTTTAAATGAAAAAGTAGGAAAAAAAATAAAAAATATGAAAGAGAATGAGGGTATATATGTATATTTATTAAAAAACTTTCTAAAAATGGAAAGAGAGACAATTGTTAGAGAACATCCCAAAATGAAAAGAAAGACAAATATTAAAGAACGGAGGGGCTATGTCACTTTTACAATAATCTTTTAAATAAATCAATTTTCATTAGCCTATTTTATGTCATTCGGAGTGTTTGGATCTATGGATTTATGTCATTAGCCGTGTCAACCCGCTTCATGGTTAGTGATTTGTGTGACTCTTTCAGGGGTGACCGTCTCTAAGTCTGATCATATGGCTTGTAGTCATAGTTATTGGAGATTAATTGATGTCGGATTTTTTTTTATCGATGTAATGATTCTGAAACTTATGATATGAATAGAACCGAATTTCCGTTCAAAAAAATAAAAAAGAAAATCATTTTCCATAATCATCTTCCAAAAGAAATTAATCAAACACTCCCATAGTCTAAACCTTTCCATAATCAAACACTCCCCGTAGTCTAATGGATTGAGTGTTGAAGAGTGTTAGTAATGGAAGTGTTGGTAAGTGTTGATGCTAACACTTGTTTGGGAGAAAAAACCAGAGGTGTTAAGAAGTGTTAGTAATGGTTAGGAAGTGTTAGTAATAACCTTCCCAACACCTCAATTGTACATTTTTTTAACACTCCGATTTGGAGTGTTTTGAGGTGTTGGACAATTATTACCCTTCTCATTTGCCCGAAAAACATAAAATGTTTCGACATTTCACTTCGAATGACTTTCCCACGGGTCTGATGGTTTGTTTTTTCATCTCTTCTCTTTACTCTTTCTTTACTCTTTCTTTAACACTCCCATTATTAACACTTCATTCATCTGACTCTCCCAAACAAGATAAAATTATGTCTAACACTTACACTTCCCTTCCCTTTCGAGCCCTTACTAACACTTACTAACACTCCCATTACTAACCTTCCAAACACTCCAGGCCCTAAACCCAATTTCCCGTAAATAAACCAAAGGTGCTTCAGCGATCTCAGCAAAACGATATGGCGTGCAACTCAGCAGGTTGCAAGTCCGGGTGCGACGGCTACAGCGAGGATGGAGAGAAAGAACACGAGAGTCGTCCGACGACTGATTGTAACGGAGACGCGCCGGTTTCAAACAGCACCGAGCCTTCTCGCAACCGCATCTGCGTAAAATGTAAAACTAATGAAACAATCGCTGCAAGTGGCGTCGGCGCCGGTCTTAGAGGAGATGGAGGAAGGTTCTGTGCTGATTGTTTCAAAAGTAATCTGTATTGGAAGTTCAGGTTTTCTGTTACCTCCAATGATATGATATCTCCTGCCGATAACGTCCTTGTAGCCTTCTCCGGCGGCCCCTCTTCCAGGTATCTCACTCTAAAAGTCTGCTTGCATACATCTGTACTTCAATTAGTGTGCGGATGTGTGTGTGCTGATTTAGATGGTCTCCTACTCTCCTACTTTCTTTGCTGGGTTTAAGAAGGGTAGAAAACTAAGTTGTAGATGGCTATAACTATAATTTGATTAAGTAAACTAAGTATAAATTTCTAGTTGTATATTGTTTTAAGCCTATCTGATCTTTCAGCTTAGTTCTGGTTTATAGCTTAGCTAAATTATAGGAATGAAAAAGTAATACCTTTGTGAGTTTGGGATGCGCTTAAGGTCTTAGCTTTGTGAATGGTAAAAAGATTATCTTTGATGGTTTGTTTCGTTCATGAAATTAAATGGGGAGTTTTTAAAGAAGTGTATGTCTCAGCTCTGTTTTGCTTCAAAACAACAAGGAAGACAGAATGCTCACCCAGATGAAACTAGTGCATCCTCCTTGACAAGGAATATACAAGACTCATATTGTTCATAGAAAAATATACATCACCCAAAGTTTTCCTCTGTCATACACTTATACTCTGATACCAAAGTAGCAGGTACTGGTAAATGCTTATAAGTTAGATACTTATATTCGACAAGAGCTAAGTAGCATCGGGACGGAAACGGAAACGGAAACGGGGACGGAAACGGGGACGGGGAAACTCTAAACTCAAAATATCAAGATACGGGTACGGCAAGGAAACGTCAAACTAAAAATTAAAATTTTACTAGTATAAGTAATGTTTACGTCCAACAACTATGAAATAAGTAAACAAAACATTCTCTTTATTATAATGCATCATACATGCATAATAAATAAAATGAAAAAGTAAATGTTTCATTCCGTGATAAACACTCTCCAATGATAAATTAACAAGTGCAAATTTGTGTAACACACTCAAATTACCAGTAACATCAGTATGTTCCATATTTAATGACAATAGGAAGCACTTACCACAAATTAAAGAATCTAAAATTTTGAAACTTCCCCAAATAGGCTAATACGGCACTACCCAGACCCACTTTAACCCACGCGTCCAGCGAAGTAGAGCAGCAGGCAGCAGCAGGCCAGCAGATGGCTTTCACCGGTCACCAACTTCAGCAGTTCAGCATTAGGTTTCCCGTCGTCACCAGCGTTGCTTCAGTATTCAAGCCCTTAATTGCCGTCGAGTGATGCTAGAGTCGCAGACTACAAGCGAGCGTCGCAGGTTAGTTTTAATTTAAAAAAAACGCGAATTGCCCAGCTCCAAATTGACCGACCTTGTTTTTGAGAAAAATAACCAGAAACGCCGTGGCCCAATTGAATTCCCGTTTCCCATACGTTTCCCCAAGCCGGCCCAAAAGCCCAAGTCATCAGAAACGTTTCTCCGCGTTTCCCTGCCGTTTCCCGGCGTTTCCTGGCGTTTCGCGTTTCCGAAACGTTTCCGGGACGGAAACTTGAGGGAGTTTGACGTTTCCGTGCATCCTAGGACAAGAGTCACAAGACAAGTAACTTAAATAGTATAAATACTTATAAGTTACCTTTTTATGGGTAAATATTACTTTAGTGCTTCACTGCTTCTATAATTCAACTCGTTTTCTATTGTTTTTCCCTTGTGAAAATACTTTTTTTAGAGAAGACACAATTATATGAGGGAATAAAACCTCTTTTCCTTGAACCTCCAAGTTGTGTCCTTTTTGTTTTCTTAATTGGTATTATGTGAGGATCGTTGAAGCAAGGAGTTAAACACTTAACTAAGTCCTTTTCATTGACTTATATTTTTGAAATCCTAACTTTCCATCATTTGCAATGGAGTCAAAGATTCATTATTTTTTGGTTTGGGAAAATGATGGAATAAAACAAAAAGGCTCACTAAACTGTCTGCGCTTCTTATGAAGCAGTAGTCAGTCCATGCGATTTTCGACACGTTTTTTCACCTTGGGTCATCCGTAAACAGTACAGGGGTAAGATTGCGTACATCCGACCCTCCCTTACCCCACCGTAGGTGGGAGCCTTTGCGGCACTGGGGTAATGATGATGATGATATTTTTGAAATCCTAACCCTGAACGGCTGAACTGATACCAGTAAACCACTTGAGGAAGCGGTCCAGCCCAGCTGGTTGCCGACTCACTCTTCCTTACGGGAGGTCTCGGGTTCGAAACTCAATGGAGTGAGTTTCAGCCCTGATTACTCCAGCCCCCCAGCCCCTCTCCCCCAGACGTCCCTGGAGTAAAAAAAAAGATACCAGTAAACCACTCAGGCATTGGTCAGTTGTGGCTTTTTTAAAACTTTTATCAAGAAGAAAAATGATTTAACCAACCAAGCTTCCTTTGTGCAATTCATATATGAAACAGTTTGCGCTCCATGACTTTGCATGTTGCTAGTAATCCCTAGTATAACTTTATGACTGTTTTGACAGTTTGTTTACCAACTTGGTAGTTTAGATTTGTATCGATCACAAGTTCTTATCAATTTATGAACTAGAATTTGTTAATGTACATGTTAGTTATCCATTTACCTTATTAATAGCTAGGTGAGCTTTATTTCTTACTACTTTAAAGATACACAATTTAGTATATTTTACTGCATGATATAATGCGATTTTCCTTCCAGGGTGGCTCTTCACTTTGTAAGTGAGATGCAGGATAAAGCTCAGAAGAATTTTGAAGCCAGTAGGGACCGAGCATTACCCGTTTTTGGTGTTGGGATTGCCTTTGTTGATGAACAATCAGTCTCGGCAATCCCTCATCACGAATTTGATAAAGCAATTGAACAAATGAAACTGATCGTTTCAAATCTTGCCCCACCACTGAAACAATTCCATGTTGTCCGTACTGAGTCTGTGTACTCATTAAAACCTGCTGATGGAAGAGAGCGACTGAAAAAGTTGATTGATGTCATTACTGATACGACAGGAAAAGAAGATCTCTTGGAGCATATGCGTATGTTGGCCTTGCAAAAGGTTGTCCTAAAAAATCTATTTAGATTATACACTTTTAGATCATTATTTCGTTGCAAAGAGATCACTATGATCTAAACTAAGATGTTTTTTTGCACAGTTTGCTATTGAAAATGGATATACCAAAATTGTGCTAGGAAAGTGCACATCAAGGATTGCTTGTCATGTGCTTGAAGCAACTGTCAAGGTTTGTGTTTCAGCATTTAATAAAACTCTGTTCTTCTAACAATCTTATCTTACTTATTTTCCGAGCTGTATTTCACTATGTTTTATTACTTTAAAAAAGTAAGTATTAAGTAACAATTCACGGTGAATGCATGCCTTTTTATTTATGTGTTGTAGTTTCCATGACTGATCCCTGCAAATTATTGCTGAGACAGCCTTATAGAAGAGCAATGAGTGAAAGTTCCCCCCCCCCCCTATATATACCCCCCTAGAGCATATGGAATGGGATATCATTTTATGGAATATTAAACCCTACATTTTGTGAGTTCTGGATGCAGAATTCTAAGGTGACACATTGCCACTTTGAAATTGGTTCATCCTTAAGTCTTTATTGGAGAAGTGAATGAGAGGTGATTATGAATTAGAAGTCTTGCTTCATTGGCATCAAAATTCTAGTTTCACTTGCCTCAATTGTTTGCAGATAGACAATGAAAATAACAAATATTAATAACACCACCACCAGTAACTGCTTGTGCGCACACACATGTGTATATATAACCTGGATGCCTCAGTTTTTAATCGGGTCAAGGGTCAAGGTGAGGATAATTTGGTGTCAACTGTCAATAGCCTTATTTTCTAATTAAAACTTCAAGGCTTGTTTTGTTTGGAAGAGGAGAAAAGAGAAATGGTTAAGCTACAGAGCTAAAAGTATATTTATCTAAATACCGTAATACTTTTTCATCTTGCAGTTCCTTTCAAATCACACAAGAGCTAAAAGTTGATGCATTGCTATTATCTTCTGCCAGGGAAAAGGTTACTCCTTAGCTGCGGATATCCAGTATGTTGATGCAAGGTGGGAAGTTCCAGTACTGTCCCCCCTCCGTGATTGTTTTTCTCATGAGATAGATTTGCTGTGCTGCCTGGAAAGGTTTGCTAACACAATAATGCTTATGACATTATAACTACTTAAGTATTTTTTTCTCCTTTTAAATTCCCTTTTACAATTCCATTGAAACATTTTTCATGTGCAGATGTGCTGATAGATGAAATATCTTCCACTATTGTGCTTGTGTAAATTATTAGTCCATAATGGAAGTAATACGTTTTGGCAGGGCAGTTTAAAGACAGTGAAATTGTTTGACCATCCACGTTCAGGCATCAATGGTCTGGTCTCCTCATTTGTGAAATTATTGCAGGTAAAAAGCATACTCGTTAACACCAAGTCAAATGCGTTATTAAAAAGTACTCAAGGCGTACTAGCAAGTTGAGTCATCAATGATCTAAACATTGTTTAGGGTTGATTAAGAACTTTGTGTATCCTAATCTAGTTCTAGAACTGATACATGTTTCGTTATGCTCTATAGGCAGTCAATGTGTGATTTAGCTGAGCTTAATTTACATGTTTGCATATGAAGAACAGTATGTGAAATGTTAATATTCTCCCAAAAGAAAAACTTGCCTGTCTATAACTTATCTTCTCCTAAGAAAATAGTCTGGTTTTAACTCTCTCTTCTAAAAATCGCTCTAGGCGCCCAACTAGTCCCCACCTAGGTACTAGGTGGTGGCCGGGTGCCCCGATTTTAGTCTAGACGCTCCTGACTAATTGGTTTGGCACCTAGGTGAATTAGTCGGCCGCCTAGGGCACCTAGTTGTCCGCCCAGAGCGCTTAAGCGGCCGCCTAGAGCGTCTAGATTTGTCATACATTTTATTTTGTTTTTTTAGTTTTCTAAGAGATATATGTACATTTAACTTTAACAACACATATGAAGAAAGCTACTAGTTGTTGATTACGATAAAAACTATACATGTTTTTATATAATCTCAAATGTTATATATTATTATTTAATAATATTTATTACATAATGAAGTTGAGTAAATATAATATATTATAAAATGTGACAACTCTATCACTCATGCATGTTAATGTGTATGTGTGTATATTTTTTTTATACACACACAAACACATTATTAGTAATCATATTTATGCAAAAGCACTGATGAAACTATAATTTCTATGTCTCTGACTAGTCCCCGCCTAGCTGCGTAGGCGCTGGGTTGGCGCCCGACTAGCGCTAGCGCCTTTTAGAACATTGTTTTTAAGATAACTTTCATTTTTTTTAGTAAAATTCATATAAAGCCAATCATAGCAAGTGGTTGTAGGCAATTACTCCAAACAACCTTGCAATAAGTTAGGATATACAAAGTATATGTGGCCATTCTTAACTTGTAAAAGCCTGTACGTCAATTAAGTTGACTAAAATATTAAGTTTTACCATACTCAAGTATGACCTTTTTTAGACGGAAGGAGTACTTAATAGTTGTACCACTATATTCTGGCTTCATACATGCTTTAGATTTTATAATCTTGTCAAATCAAGGTCTTCGAAAGGCAAAATCCTTTAACGGGAATCAACTCATTGGAAAGAATATTTAGTTTGCGTGTTAAGGACCTACATAGAATAATAATAATAAATGAAAATAATAATACTACCTCCGTCTCACTAACATTGGGACGGAAGGAGGTGGCACGATTATTAACAAAAGTGAGTTTATGTGGTTGATATTGAATGAATAAAATAAGAATAAAGCAAGAATGATTTAGAGTCACAGAAACTTTACCAAATTTGGTAAGGGACAATCTTAGTGGGACTTCCCGAAAAGGTAAAATGGGACAATCTTAGCGGGGCGGAGGGAGTATGCTTATTTTGCTCTCAGGACAAGAAGCTCGGGAATCCCGCGGCGGCAACCAAGCCCTCAAGAGAGCTGCGATCCTTGCTCTCTGTAAACACCATATTAAGTAATCTCGAATGTGTCACTTGCTCACAAAAAAACCTTGTCATCCCCCATAGGAATCCTCCTGTATTCCAAACGGAAAGGAGGGTCCGACTGCTGATCGCCCTGCAGTCACGAATAGCCAGCCTTCAAGATCTTGTCTATAAGTCGGGTGTGGACTAGCTCTCTTAGGTTGAACCCTGGTTCGTGTTGAAGTGTAGCTACATCCCGTAAGGTCACTTTACCCGAATACCTTACTTACATGGAACTACCCTCGACTTGATCCATCCCAATGATGGTAGGTAGGCAACTCTTTTTCGAGAGCGCGGTTTAGAAAGGTTTTGTATTGAAACCCTGGGACGCTGTATATTAGTATAGTTACTTAGTTAGTATAAATAGAGGTTGAGGGTAAGAATAGAGAGGAGGTTGGAATTATCATTTGGGCTTGGGACTTGGAGAGTGGGCATTCTTAAACTGCCTTTGTATTTCCCTCTACATTTTCTGTAATACGAACCCTTTCAGTTGTACGCGCATCTCTGTTCTTCATCTTGTTTCTTGAAAGACATTGTGAATTAGCCAGATACCTAACATTGGTATCAGAGCTGTTACCTGTTAATGATCGCCATTAGAGGAACGATGGAAGCTAGACTGGAAAGTTTTAAACGCAAGCTGGAGAAGTATCGCATAGAGGAGATGCGTGAAAACGAAGCTATGCGCGAAGAAGCCAGGCGGTTTCGCGAAGAGATGCGAGAGTTAATCCTGAACCTGAACGATAGTCAGTCGCGAGGAATGTAAAGAGAATGCCAACAGTTTGTATACCTAATCAAGAAGCAGGTATAGGTTTGGGCTATTGGGTTCGTAAGGGTAAGGCATTTGCCTTCCATTGCTATGAGAAACTTTATCTCCCATTCTTGGTGATCACACAGAAGAAAGTGATAAAGATTGAAATGCTGCCTGTTGACCTCAAGCCTATAAGGGAAGGACTTCCAGTGTTGAAATTGACTTATTGACCTCTCAGATGTTATTCTTGTCGGATAATCCTGTTTCGGAAATTTCCTATTCTGTGGCTAAAAGCCCAGCTGAGGGGTCCTTGTACTTGTGACTGAATACCTGACGTGTAGAATCAGTGTGAATCAGGACCCTATTATTCAGACTGATGTTAATGGACTAGAAGCTGAAGCGAATTTCAGTAGTATTCTTTTAATGGAAACTAAGCTATGTGAAGATGTTGGAAGTATAGAAGCGGAACTATACTTGCTGGGAAAAATGGCTATGGCTTCTTATTCCTCACCTGGGCTAATAATGTTGGATGCATGCCCAGTCAGGGAAGCAAAGAGGTTTCAGGAATCCTTCTCCAATTGGCTGTTTGGAAAACTGTTTACACGTGCATCAGGAATTTGTTCCTTTGTTTTGGTGGGGGAAGATCTAAAGAAAAATACTTGGCTTAAGGCTGAATTGTTGGAAGCAAACAAGAGGAACAGTTTTCTCTTTGAAAAATATTTTGAGGCTAGAGATATTGAAGGTATAGAGCAGATCCATAGGGCCCCTATATCAGTTTTCAGCAAGGTTGTTAAACTCGAGATCCTAGCACGGATCGGAAGGGGTCTAGGAGATCGTAACTCGGGGATCGTAACTCGGATCGTAAGATCCTACCATGCAATATATATGTGTATATAATATATATATACATACACACACACACACACATAGACATACAATTCAATTCTACTTATATTCCCGATTAATAATAATAATAATAATAATAATAATAATAATAATAATAATAATCTAAAACAGCTAACGTAACAAGTTAACATAAATATATAAAACATAAACTGAATAACATTTAATTATATAATTATATAATACGATAGTATAAATTATATTTAATTATATTTAATAATATAATTATATAAAACAGTTAACATAAATTGAATAACATTTGGCAAGAATTTCAAAGATAAACTCCAAAACATATGGCATAATAAAAAAACATACGAATATTAATTTGACACAACAAGTTCATTAGGAGGAGTCCCAAAAGACCCGATAAAAAGCAGTCCCAAAAAATTAAAATTGGGCAAAAAGACAGAACAGAGAAGAGACGAAGCGGACAAAAAACAGAGTATAGCAAAGAGACGAAGCGGACGAAAGAAGAGAACAAAGGAGAGATGAAGAAACGAAGCACGGAAGATTAACGTTGCACCAGGTGTCGCTTGGGCTTCGTTCATCTTAAGTCGCGATGGGTTCCGCGACCTCTTCCCCTTTTTTAGCTTCGAAGTCGCAACTCGTGTAGATCGAAGAATCGTACAAGTTACGATTTTACTCGACGATCCTAGGGCGTTTTCCGATTCCAGCAGCGATCCAGCTCGCACCTCCCTATTCTGATCGTAAAATCGTACGATCCTGCGAGTTGGATTGCGATCTTAACAACATTGGTTTTCAGAAATGGTGGGAGGGGTATGATTGTGGTTGCTATTCATTCAGGAAGAATCTCTATTATATTGGAGGTTGTGTCGGATAGCATACAAAACTGTTCTCATAAAAAAGCATCACCGGTTCTTCCTGCAATTATAGATGACCTGGCCCCTGAGAATGGCTCTGTAGGGGATGTGGCACTTGATGCTGGCCAGGTTTTAGTGAAACATCATGTAACCATGCCCTGGCCTCAGCTGCTTGCTATGGAAAAAATGATAGCAATGGTTCACTTCATGAAGTTCAGGATCCTAAAATTTGGAAGATACTGGGAAGGAAGAGGCGCAAAGATGAGGAAGAAGCTGATCATCAGGACTGTCTCCTAAGTCCTATCACCCACCTTGAGGACAAGGTGGTTGTCAAAGGGGGAGTAATGTTAGGGACCTACATAGAATAATAATAAACGAGAATAATAATAATACTCCCTCCGTATTTTTTGGTTTGCTACACTTTCCTTTTTTGGATGTATTCAAAAATTTGCTACACTTTCCCTTTTTGGTAAGTTTTTCCTTTTAAAAATACTCAACTACCCTTACTTTTTCTACTTTTTATCTTCTCTTTCATACTTTTCTACCATCTTTCCTACTTTTTCTACACTATTCATTACCCCTACTATTTCACTCTTAAAAAATGTGCCAACACCTATTGTAGCAAACAAAAAAATACGTAGGGAGCATAGTTGTTATGGCGTCGATATATCGTCGCCACATCGTCGACATATCGTCGCGGCGCGAAGTGAAGATCGCCATGGGAGCTCGACTCGCCATAAAACCTTTGGCGTCGAAGAATCATCGTTGTGTCGTCGGAAGACGCCAAAATCGCCTAATCGACGACCCAAGGCGTAAAATTATTTAATTTGGAACAGGCCCAAACCCAAACTCAACTGAATTTCGAAGAGGCCCAAAATAAAATTAACAAACAAACCTATCTGCATCGACGACATACGCACGCTTCATTCTTCAGTCCGTCGTATGCAGTCGTCTGCACGCTCCACTAGTTCTAATCAGGAATTTCCGTCGCTCTATAGTTCTAATCTGTCGTTGCTCACTCATGTCTGCAGTCATCTGCACGTTCCACTAGTTTAGCCCCTTTTTTATGTTGTTTTGTTCATGCATTTGTTGTATTTTTTTGAGTCGGTTACTGTTTAGTGTTTAGTTTTGTTTTTATAATTTCCACCCCTTTACTCCAATATTAATTGTTTAGTTGTGTACAGTTGTTGTGTTGAACTCCGTGTAGTGTTTAGCTTTTTTGTTGTATTTACATTGTACAGTTTGATTCAAAAAAATCAAAAAAAAAATCAGTTCTCTTTTTATTTTATATTTCATGATGTTTTTGGTGTCTCGAATTTATGCTGAAATTCATATTGTGTGATTGTGTTGTCTTACATTTAATATTTTTTAATAGTTAGTGACATTTCAGTTAAGTTGTTTTTATTTATTTTATTTCTATGGTTACATGTTTTATTACTTGATTTAGTTCATTAGTAGTGTTGGCTATAAGTTTTACATGTAGGTTTTTTAGTATGTAAAACTTATTATGAATTTATTAGTCTATATGTCGACTTATCGCCGCGACTCCGCCACGACAGGCGCCATATCGCCATGGCGGTATGGCAGTCCAAAGGCGCCGCGCCGCAAAACCCCGCCGTAACGACTATGGTAGGGAGTATTAGAATAGTTAGTATAAATAGAGGTTGAGGGTAAGAATGGAGAGGAGGTTGGAATTATCATTTGGGCTTGGAGAGTGGGCACTCATAAACTGCCTTTGTATTTCTCTCTACATTTTCTGTAATATGAACCCTTTCAGTTGTGTGCACATCTCTGTTCTTCATTTTTTTTCTTGAAATTCATTGTGAATAGCCAGATGCCTAACATTGCGTTAACGGATATAAGCTTAAACATGGTATAGGTTTTGATACTTGCAATATATTAGCTTAAAGTTGTTTTGAGATGTAAAAGTATAATGTTTCAGGAGGAGAATCCGTCCAGAGAGAGCACAATTGTAAGAACGGCTGGAAAGCTTACCCCTTTTCATTTCAATAGGATTCCCGAAGATGATATATGTCATGGTCCAACAGCATCTCAGAGGAGACGGAAGAAACAAAATCTCAAAACAGACCCTCTGATTTCCCAAGAGTCATTCTGTCCTATTTGCAATAGCCCAGTCAAAATGTCTGACATAGTAAATATGACACGTTCTGAAAATGTTCAAACCAGTATGGATCTTTTGGAGTTATGCTGCCTGAGTTGCCGGTTTCAGATTTTACCTGCAGAGATCTCATCTACGAACTCTTTTTATTCACTCCTACCAGATCCAATAATTTCTCGAGCAAAAGATGTGAGCTCTATCAATCAAAGCCTCCTGCTAAGGTAAAAAAAGTTACCCTCTGCTCTGGTTGATTGATGGAAAATATTTCTGTGGAAGACCTTCCCTGCATTTGACATGGGAACCACTTTCCTTGATTTTATGATTTTCTTCAAAAATGATATCTTTTCGCCTTCCTTCACTAGCTGTTTTTTCTGGGGGATATACATTTGGGTTGGCCATAACCCGATTTTTTGAACTTTTTGCACATATGCATATGATAAGATGCATTTAGTACACCTGCTGCATATTGTTACTGCACATGTTACGTATCCCTCTAAACCTTATACCAAGGGTGAAACATACATTATAGCGCCAATTTTTTACAGTTTTAGTTTTCAGTATCTATTGTTAATATTCCCTTTTTTAGCAGGGAACTTTTAAAAGACGTTCAAAAACAGAGAACGTTTAAAAACCTTTGTGAGGATCCTAGCAGACAATTTCCCCCAGGACAAATGTTTCCAAAAGAAATATGTAGGATAAATTATATTCCATTTTTAAAGGGACATGTTTCTTTTTCTTCAAAAACAATAATTAGTAGTCTATCATTTATTTGTCTTTATTAAAAAAAGTAGATGCACATTGTCTATGTATGGATTGTACTTATGAGCTTGTTTTACTTTAGCCTAAGTTATCTAGAAATAATTGCAGGTTTAACTATTATCATATTTAATACAATCAAAATTCACCTACATATTCAAATTATCAGCCCATTTGATAACACTGTGATTGGCTGAATTGGCTCAATTTGTTGAAATTGATGAAATTCTAGCTGAAACAGTCGAATTGGTTGAATTGAAAATTTTATATACAAATATATTTTATTAATGAAATTAAGAAAAAATTATATGAGAATATAGCTAAGAGCCTAAGATAGTCATCTTCAGCCTTGCTTATTTACATTACAATTCAGCATTATGTAAAATCAATATTTAATTGTTTGGTAAAAAAGTTTGGTGATAAGCTGAATATAGGGGTTATCAAATGCGCTCTATAACTTCTAATCATTTAATAATAAAAATAATGTCTGCAAAAGTACTCATTTATAAGCATGAATTTACGAAATCACATAAACAAAATTGTAGCCTCAATGAAAAAAAATCATGTTTTGGTTAACCTAGGCCAAAAAGTAATCAAACTCATCAACAAAATCCATACTTCAATTTTGTTTTTCTCCATTTTATAAAAAGTAAATTAAAGTAAATAATATCTTGTGACTATCTACTATTGTTTCTTACAAATGAAAAAGAATGTGCACGTTTTTGACACATTTGCCCCCGGAAGATTTCTTCCTTTTGGGCCCTAATGAAGGTTCTTAATGGTTTAATGTTCTTTGATGAATTATGAAATGTGATGCAGAAACATGGATATTAAAAGGCTGGTGCTGAAATTTGAGTGGAGTAAAAGACTGATGCTAATACTCCGGATTTAAGATCACGATATTAGGTCTTGGCACAAAATTTAAGGGGGAAATAGTAGGGGTAATGAATAGTGTAGAGAAGGTGAAAAAGTAGGAAAAAGAAAATAAAAAGAAGAAAAAGTAAGGGTAGTTGGGTATTTTTAAAGGAAAAGCTTACCGAAAAAGGAAAATGTAGCAAAATTTGAAATACATCCCAAATAGAAAAGTGTAGCAAGCTTTTAAATGCGGAGGGAGTATACGGTTTCACCAATTTATTTAACAAAACACAATTTAATTTCCATGTGAAAATTCTCACTTAAGTAATTGTTTTCAACACTATAAAAAGACTTCATTTATAATTTAAAGAAATTGCCCTAAATAGATGAAGTAAAAATATAATTTTCCCAAGTAGTACTTTGTTTTTACTAAATACGAATAAGTACTGCCATTGTGAAACCACATTGTCATATCATGGCATTCATACTTCGTATCGTTTTATAATGGCCGCATTGGGAAAAACATTGCAGCCCGATATAAGGAAACCACCTTGTTTTTACTCCTACTTTGAGAGATTTCCCTATAACTTGTTTGATTGATGGTCTTTTCAGTTATGACATGTTTTCTTGATGTTTTCTTTCTCAGAGAGCAGATAGAGGACTGCTTGCTATCAGACACTGAAGACGAGACCTAAACATGTGTATGCAGTGTATTGTCTACAAAGAGAGAATCTGGCATGAAGTCATAGACTCGGTTTAAGTGGAAAATTTAGTGTTCATCCCAAAAAGATTTGGAAAATTCAATCTGTGTTTCTAATTAATTTTTCCTAATTTTGGATATGTTATTATTTTCTAGCAATTTTTATGTTAGATGTATGCTCACCTCACTTTGCAAGATTGACTTCATGTTCGTTTAGTAACATGGGTAAGTTAAAGAAAAAATGTTGTGACTAATCTTACTTTGAGAAGTTTAATGGATGGGTTAAAACTAGGGTTACCGCTTTGGTAATCGCTTAGCCTAGGATCGCCTGCTATCGGCAAGTCCGAGGAGCGGGGCTGGGATTCCAGCCTTTTGTGAATTATTTGGCTTTCGTTTCCAGCAGGTTGGCTTTGGAAGGAGACCCGTCTGCAGCAGGGGTGTCAAATTCCGGATTCAGGAATCGACGGCTTCTAGGGCGAAAGGCTTGACGGTTTCAAGTGAAGGGTGGCTCTTCGGAATCGGCAGCTTCGGGTTCGACGGTCTTCGTTGGTGTCCAGGGGAGGCTTGTCGGTTGGAGGACAGGGCTTCCGGATTGCATGGAAATTTTTGTTAATCGGTACAAGAAGATGTCGATTGGGGTAAAGGAAGAAGAATTGGATCTTGATGAAGTTGATATTGAGGAATCTCCGGTAGAGGAGAACAATCCGGGGTAGGGGTGGACCGGTTCCGGTTCGGGCCCGGCCGGGCCTCGGTTCAGAAAAATGAGGCCCGAGCCTGAACCGGTGGTGGGCGGTTCCGGGTCCGGTTCCGGGCCAGACCGGGTCGGGCCACCCGGATTTTCTTTCTTCTTCTCTTATTTAACCCCCTACCCCTCCCTCTCCACCCCAAACCACCTCAAATGGCCCAAAATACCTAATCCAACCCAAAACTTAAAAAAAATTCCAAAAAAAAATAATTAAATTCCGGCCCGAACCGGGCCCGGCCCGGCCGGGCCGGTTCACTAAACTGGAGGCCCGGGCCCGGACCGCTATACCACCGGGCCGGGAGGCCCGAACCGGTTCACCGGGCCGGTACGGGCCCGCACAATAGCGGGCCGGTCCGGTTCCGGACCGGTTGGTCCGGCCCTTGTCCATCCCTAATCCGGGGTTTTCGGTTGTGGGAGCATTGTTGACAGATAGAAAAGTCAAATTCCCAGCTTTTAAGGAACTCATGTCTTCGCTATGGAGGCTGGGGAAAGAAATTTCAATTAAAGAAGTTGGCGACAAAAGCTACCTTTTTACTTTTTATCATCGTGTGGATAGGAAACGTGTGTTAGATGGTGGCCCTTGACAATTTGAACATAATATGTTGATTTTGAAAGAAGTTAAGTCAGATGATATTCCGCATAAACTTGTGTTAAATGAGGCTGAGTTTTGGGTTCAAGTCCATAATGCACCCTACAGTCTAGTGAATTTAGGTACTGTTAGGCGGGTTAAAAATTTTATTGGTAAATTTATAAGATATGATGATAATCCAAATAGTGAGAAGTGGAAGTCTTATATGAGAATCAAGGTGAGTATGAATGTGGAAAAATCGTTGAAAAAAGGTACCAACCTTAAGAAAGAAAGGAGTTTTTGGGTGGACTTTAAGTATGAAAAGTTGCCCAACTTCTGTTTTATCTGTGGTCTAATTGGGCATTCAGACAAATTTTGCCCTCTGACCTATGAAGAGAATCTAGTTCTGGAAAACAAATTCGGGGTCCAGCTTAGGGCGGGTAGCAGGGTGAAGACTACCCCAACAAGAGGAAGTAAATGGCTGGTGGAGGGTTCATCGAGCTCTGGCAGAGACCGTAGGACCATGGGGGATAATAAGTCTAATGGTAGGATGGGAGGAGGGGAGAATGAGACTATTTCAGAATCAGCACAGACTACAACCAAAGGTGTGGTGATTGAAACAAAGGAGGAAGCATCGAGGGAGCAAAAAACGAAGATGGATTTGGGACTCCCAGGAAGAGGACAAGCTTGAGGATGACAACATGGCACTTGATGGCACAAAAAATGGGGAAGGGACGGACTTCGACCAGTAAGTCCGCCGAAGTTGCTTCAGTCAGGACCAGGGCAAAGGGTTTGGGGGTTCGTGCAGTTCGGCAGGTGAGGGCAGATTTTTTATTTTGTTAGTTTTATTTTTTCTGGCATGACAGTTTTTTTGCTTCGTGGTGTGTTTTGTTTTTGTTGTTACTTTATGTAAGACTGAATTTGGATGTGGGGATAGAAGGATTGACGTAACTTTTTTTTTGGCTCATTTGTGCTTATTAATGGATCAACGAGTTATATTACTTCTTTTGAGGTGATTAACTCTGAATCTGGTTCGAGGGACGACGTTGTCGGGAATTTTTTTGTCGAATTACCTACTATCTGAATGATGTTTTATCAATTTAAGCATATTTCTTTCAATAACAAAAAATGGATGGGTTAAAAGTTTTTAGTTCCCAGAGCTAATTAAAAGTGTTGTTTTTCTCACATTCTGTGTAATTCTTGAGTTTTAGTTATTTAGATGATATTGTATCGTGTATGTGTCCTTGAAACCTTAGCATTTAGTACGGAGTATCATTTAATATAAGAGATTTCTATTGTTCGTAATATTTAGCGCTATGCAATTGATGGGAATCGAATTCTGAGCGAAGTCATTAGATTCTATCAGAAGGACTTCCTAGCTTTAGCCGCCGTACAATAGATTTTAGTATTTAATAATTGTATTGTAACAATACAAAAACACAGGGTCACATGGGGGAGAATTCCTTGAGATCAATCTTGAGGTCTGTGAGTGATGTAGCTTCTTCTCCCGGCAGTTTCAGATATTTCTGGAGGTCTTCTTTGGTGATCTAAAAAATTCAATGCTCCCCTGAAATCAAGACCCATACCACTCGAGCTTTATCTAGTTGTTTATATATTTGCCTCACGGTTTCATTTTTCCTGATCAGTAGCCTATTGCTGAGCTATCTACCTCTTTCCAGCTTCTGCTTGCTTGCCTCCCTATCTTGATTCAATCTGCTGTATTGATACCGTTGTTACTGCACGCGAATATATATTGAAAATGCAAAGGTCACGTCTAAAGATATTAATTATTAATGACATACCATTGAGGACGATTACGACTTTTGTATTTTCAAATTTTAAATACTTTTCATATCTCTGATTTTTATGCATTATGTGATTTCTTAATTTGATTGTTTTATTATTACTGGATTATTAGTCAATTTTTTCAATGTTTTCCTCCAAGGGAATTAACCCATCATTATTCTGATGCAAGATGCGAAGATAACACAAGCTTCTGCTGGGCATGCTCTTCCCCTCATCCCCGCGTCTGAAGCACCCGGGCTCTCCTACCTTCACGCAACTCTTCTCTTCTACAGCAGCATTACATACCCGATCACCTCCTCCCTGTTCCGCTGACATCCTCAAACGATGCAGGACTTCTATCAAGGCCAAGCTCATCATCGCCGGCGGCCTCCATGCCGAACCGGAGATGGGGCGGTCGCAGCTTGTATTCTGGTGGAACAATCTGATCAAGCGATGTATCTTCCTCCACTCCTACGACCACGTTGTTCCTCTCTTCCGCGAGATGCTGAGACTACAATGGACTCCAGACGGCTACACTCTCCCTTACGTGCTCAAGGCTTGTGGAGAGCTATCCTCCTTCCCTAGAGGCGAGTCTGTCCACGCTTTTTGCTTGGTTACCGGACATGACAGTAACGTCTATGTACGCAACAGCCTCATAGCAATGTATGGGAGGTGTGGAGCTCTGCTTCACGCACAGAAGGTGTTCGACGAGACGGTTGTGAGAGGAATTCACGACGTCATTTCCTGGAACTCCATTGTCGCAGCTTATGTGCAGGGAAAAGATTTCAGGCGAGCTTTAGGCCTGTTTGGCGCCATGATATCTAGATGCGATCTCAACTTGCGTCCTGATGTTATTAGTTTAGTTAACGTAATCCCCACATTTGCTCCTTCAAGAGAATTGCGGTTAGGAAAACAAGTCCACGGGTATGCTATTCGTTTAGGTTTATACGAGGATGTCTTCGTGGGGAATGCGATGGTAGACATGTATGCTAAATTTGAGCAAATGAATGAAGCCAACAAAGTGTTTGAGTGTATGGAGGTGAAAGATGTGGTTTCATGGAATTCAATGGTGACTGGGTACTCCCAGATAGGGATGTTCAAGGAGGCATTAGGATTATTTGAGAGAATGAGACAACAAGAGATCGATTTGAATGTTATCACATGGAGTGCAGTAATCTCAGGGTATGCACAGAGGGGTCTTGGATATGAAGCTCTGAATGTCTTCCACGAGATGATGCTTTCTGGGACAAACCCTAACGTTGTTACTCTTTCCTCGGTTCTTTCTGGTTGTGCTTCTGTTGGAGCATTGAATCAAGGGAGAGAGACTCATTGTTATGCCATCAAACACATATGTCATTCAGAGGGGAATAATGATATTGAGGAAGAGGATGAGGAAGATAAAATGGTCATTAATTGTCTTATAGACATGTATGCAAAGTGCAAGAAAGTAGAGGTGGCTCGTGCCATGTTTGACGCCATTGAATTAAGAGACCGAAATGTGGTGACATGGACTGCGATGATTGGTGCATACGCACAACATGGAGATGCCAATGAGGCGTTGAAACTCTTCTCATCAATGGTAAAGGAAAATCTTTCCTTGGTCATACCAAACGGATTTACGCTATCATGTGCTTTGATGGCGTGTGCCCGTTTGTCTTCTCTTAGAGTTGGTCAGCAAATTCATGGATACATCTTGCGTAACCAGTATGAAACATGCATGTTATTCGTGTCTAATTGTCTCATTGACATGTATGCGAAATCTGGTGACATTGACACTGCGAGAACAGTATTTGATATCATGGCCTACAAAAACACCGTTTCGTGGACCTCACTGATGACCGGATACGGAATGCATGGTCGGGGTGAAGACGCTCTTAGAGTGTTTGAAGCAATGCAGATGCACCAGGATTTGGAGATTGATGGTGTAACTTTTTTGGTCCTGTTGTATGCTTGTAGCCATTCTGGCATGGTGGACAAAGGGATGAATTACTTTAACAACATGATAAAAGATCATGGGGTCATTCCCGAGATTGAACATTATGCTTGCATGGTTGACCTTTTGGGCCGTGCCGGTCGTTTGGATGAAGCATTGAAGCTGATACATGATATGCCTGGAGTGCCCACCTCAATAATTTGGTTTTCTTTGTTGAGTGCTTGCAGGTTGGGATGCATACAAATTAAATATCGCTATATTGTATTATATATATTCTCATTTTATTCGGATACATGTTTATATTCTTATTCATATTTTATTATTTGAATATCAAAATTTGCACATTCTTTTTCAGTACATAGCTATGTGTTTGTAAAGATGAGCTAGAGCTAATATTATTACAACTTGTTTTAAAACTTGAGATACAAAGCTGAAACATGTTTTTTTCCTATAAACATTTCTTGTGGAAGATCAGTACTAGACTAATATTCAAGGATGTCCATATGTTTAATAATGTTGTGTGTATAGTTCGAATATTTTTTTGTTAATGTTAGAATGGAACAAGGTGTGATCTTATTCGTATTCTCAAAGTACACAAATCTAATGGCACATTCTTGTTTGGAGTCTTATTCTTGTATATTTTAAAATTCCAATCTTGATATACGAATTGAAACTGAACTACATGATTTTTGAAACTCCTCCTAACATGCAGGGTTCACAAGAACGTTGAGATTGCGGAACACGCAGCGGCCAAATTGTCATACTTGGAAGCAGAGAATGATGGGTCGTACACGTTGCTTTCAAACATTTACGCAAATGCCAGGCGTTGGAAAGATGTAGCCCGTGTAAGGTCTCTAATGAAACACTCTGGAATCAAGAAGAGACCAGGATGCAGTTGGGTCCAAGGAAGGAAAGGGACTTCAGTATTCTTTGTGGGAGACAGAAGCCATCCGATGTCCGAGGAAATATACAATCTCTTAGCTGATTTGATCGGTCGTGTTAAAGGGATGGGATACATTCCACAGACGAGCTTTGCCCTACATGACGTGGACGACGAGGAGAAAGGCGATCTGCTTTCTGAACACAGTGAAAAGCTGGCTTTGGCTTATGGGATTTTGACTACAGCTCCCGGGTTGGCAATTAGGATAACGAAAAACTTGCGTGTTTGTGGGGATTGTCATTTGGCTATAATCTATATCTCTAAGATCATTGATCATGAAATCATTTTGAGAGACTCGAGCCGCTTTCATCATTTCAAGGACGGGTCTTGCTCGTGCGGGGGGTATTGGTGAATAAATGCTCTGGTTTTTACTTTGGGAGTTTGGGATGCGCTTAAGGTCTTATATTTGTGAATGGTAAAAAGATTATCTTTGATGGTTTGTTTAGTTGATTAGTTCATGAAATTAAATGGGGAGTGTTTTGAGAAGTGTATTTCTCAGCTCTGTTTTGCCTCAAAACAACAAGGAAGACAGAATGCTCACCCAGAAGAAACTAGTGCATCCTCCTTGGCAAGGAATATACAAGACTCATATTGTTCATAGAAAAATATAAATCACTCAAAGTTTTCCTCTGTCATACACTTATACTCTGATACCAAAGTAGCAGGTACTGGTAAATGCTTATAAGTTAGATACTTATATTTAGGGGTGTAATCGAGTCGAGCCGAGCCCGAACTCACATATGCTCGAACTCGAGCTCGAAAATATTCTACATGCTCGAGCTCGGCTCGAGTTCGTTCGAGCCTAAATATTATAGCTCGAGTTCGACTCGAAAACTTTCACTATAGCTCGCGAGCTGCTCGAGATCGACTCGACAAGCTAGGCCATCAATTGCAGACCTTGCAAATATTATGCTTGTCTGATGCTTAAATGATTCAAAGGAGATGAGTTCCTTTATAGATGGATAGGAAGGTGACTTCTCCTCACTTTTCCGGTGTGGGAAGCACAATGTAGAAGTTTAAAATTAAAATGGTGTAGACTCACGAACTACAAAAATGCTGCGGAGGAGGGTTTCGAACTCGGGTTGTCAGCAACAATTCAGGCCTAATAATTTTCCAACTCATCTACACGCACGGATGTGATAATATTCATCTCAGTTGGTTTTTAAACCTGTTTTAAATGAGCTAATGAAAAAATGAATACTTGCTCCGTACTATTATAAATTAAAATGATTACATATAGTTATAATAATAAATAATATTATATTCAATTATTACTATTATAATATCATAAGTATTAGAAATAAAGTAATCCTCAATTAGAATAAATATTCTATATATATACATATACACCCACACACATATTAAGGCTCGCAAGCCGGCTCGCGAGCCACGAGCCTAAAATGAACAGGCTTGATTCGAGCTTGTTAAGTATTCGAGTCGAGCCGAACTCGAGCCGAGCTGGAATATGCCGAACTCGAGTCGAGTTTTTACCGAGCGAGCCACGAGCGGCTCGCGAACGGCTTGGCTCATTTGCACCCCTACTTATTTTCAACAAGATAAACCTTTTTATGGGTACATATTACTTAAGTGCTTCATTGCTTCTATGATTCAACTCGTTTTCAATTGTTTTTCCCTTGTGAAAATACTTTTTTGAGAAAAGACACGATTGTATGAGGGAATAAAACCTCTTTTCCTTGAACTTCCGAGTTGTGTCCTTTTTGTTTTCTTAATTGGTATTGTGCAAGGATCGTCGAAGCAAGGATTTGAACACTTAACTGAGTCCTTTTCATTCATCATTCATTCATCATCATTGACTTATATTTTTAAAATCCTAACCCTGAACTGATATCAGTAAACCACTCAGACATTGGTCAGTTATGGCATTTTTAAAACCCTGTTTTCAAGTAGCAAAATGATTTAACCAACCAATCTTCCTTTGTGCATTTCATATAAGAAACAGTCGGCGCTACATGACTTTGCATGTTGCTGGTAATCCCTAGTATAACTGTATGACTGTTTTGGCAGTTCGTTTACCAACTTGGTAGTTTAGATTTGTAACAATCACAAGTTCTTATCAATTTATGAACTACAGCTGGTTAATGTACATGTTAGTTACCCGTTTACCTTATTAATAGCTAGGTGAGCTTTATTTCTTATTACTTTAAAGATACACAATTTAGTAGATTTTACTACATGATATAATGGGATTTTCCTTCCAGGGTGGCTCTTCACTTTGTAACCGAGATGCAGGATAAAGGTCAGAAGAATTTTGAAGCCAGTAGGAACTGAGTGTTACCCGGTATTGGTGTTGGGGTTGCCTTTGTTGATGAACCATTAGTCTCGGCAATCCCTCATCACGAAATTTGATAAAGCAATTGAACATATGAAACTGATCGTTTTAAATCTTGCCCCACCACTGAAACAATTCCATGTTGTCCCTACTGAGTCTGTGTACTCATTCAAACCTGCTGATGGAAGAGAACGGCTGAAAAAGTTGATTGATGTTATTACTGATACAACAGGAAAAGAAGATCTCTTGGAGCATATGCGTATGCTGGTCTTGCAAAAGGTTATCCTACAAAGCTATTTAGGTTATACACTTTTGGATCATTTTATGTTGCAAAGAGATTACTATGATCTAAACTAAAGTTGTTTTTTTTGCACAGATTGCTATGGAAAATAGATAAACCAAAATTGTGCTAGGGAAGTGCACATCAAGGATTGCTTGTCATGTGCTTGAAGCATCTGTCAAGGTTTGTGTTTCAGCATTTATTAAAACTATGTACTTCTAACAATCTTATCTGACTTATTTCCCGAGCTGTATTTCACTATGTTTTTTATATTTTTAAAAAATAAGTAATAACAATTTATGGTGAATGCATGCCTTCTTATTTATGTGTTGTAATTTCCATGACTGATCCCTGCAAATTATTGCTGAGACAGCTGTATAGAATAGCAAGGATTGAAAGTTTTTTCGCTATATATATTTATCCACAAGAAATTTCAGCTAAAAATTCAATTGGGAATCAAGTTAAATAAATTATTGAAAAATATTGCGCTTTTATATATAGTTTGGCGATGTATGTTTCAATAACTTATTTAACTGACTTCTCGATTGAATTTTGTGTGTGGATAAACTAGACTTCATGAGGAACATTCTCAAAAAAAATCATTAAAAAGTTCCACCAGGAGCTCCCCAAACGGCAGTGGCCGGACGGAGCATGCCGTCATGAAGGATGGACACTGGTCTTTTTCCCTCAAGTATGACCTTTTTTAGACGGAAGGAGTACTTAATAGTTGTACCACTATATTATGGCTTCATACACATGCTTAAGATTTTATAGTCTTGTCAAATCAAGGTCTTTAAAAAGCAAAATCTTTTGATGGGAATCCATTCATTGGAAAGAATATGTAGTTTGCATTAAGGAATATAAGCTTAAACATGGTATAGGTTTTGATACTTGCAATATATTAGCTTAAAGCTGTTTTGAGGAGAATCTGTCCAGAGAGAGCATGATTGTAAGAACGGCTGGAAAGATTACCACTTTTCATTTCAATAGGATTCCAAAAGATGATAAATGTCATGGTCCAACAGCATCTCAGAGGAAACGGAAGAAACAAAATCTCAAAACAGATCCTTTGCTTTCGCAAGAGTCATTCTGTCCTATTTGCAATAGCCCAGTCAAAATGTCTGACATACTCCGTAGTAAATATGGCACATTCTGAAAATATTCAAACCAGTATGGATCTTGTGGAGTTGCGTTGCGTGAGTTGCCGGTTTCAGATTTTACCTGCAGAGATCTCATCTACGAACGCTTTTTATTCACTCCTACCAGATCCAATAATTTCTCGAGCAAAAGATGTGAGGTCTATCAATCAAAGCCTCCTGCTAAGGTAAAAAAAAGTTTTCCTCTGTGTTCTATTTTGAGTGATAGAAAATATTTCTGTGAAAGGTTTTCTGAATTTCCCTGCATTTGAGATGGGAATCAGTTTCATTGATTGTATGATTTTCTTTAAAAATGACTTCTTTTTGCTTTCCTTGACTAACTGGATTTTTTTTTGGACATACATTTGGATTGAACTTTCTGCACATATGCATATCAGCATATGATAAGATGCCTTTAGTACACCTATTAATTTCTACAAAAAGATAAAGGTTGTATTACCAGGCACATTTGCACATATGGATATTAACAAATAGAGTGTATTTATAGGGATTAAAATTTGTCCGCACTAGGCTCTCAACTAAGGTCCACATTCTGGGCTGCTCTCAGTTTTGGGCCATTTTTTGCTTTCTTTTCACCTTTTTTGGTTTTAAACTTGTATATCCTAAAGTTCTTAATCAATAAAAAATGGTGAACGATCCTGACGTTCACCCCGTCCATCACGACGGTCTTTCGGGCTAAAAAAAAGGGATTAAAATGAGTGTTAAATACATCTTGTCATATGCAACTGCTGCATATGTTACTGCACATGTTACATATCCCTCTAAAACTTATTAATGGTGAAACATACATTGTAGCACCAATCTTTTACATAGTTTTAGTTTTCAGTACCTATTGTTAATATTCTCATTTTTAGCACGAGGCTTTCAAGACATTCAGAAACAGAGAACCTTTAAAAACAAAAACCTCTGTGAGGAATGAGGATCCTAGCAGACACCCCAAAGAAATACGTGGTTTAAGTTATTTTACATTTTTAAGGGGACATGTTTCTTTTTCTTCAAAAGCAATAATTAGTAGTTTAACATTTTTTCATTTTTATTAAAAAAAAAGTAGATGCACGTTGTCTATTTATGGATTGTATTTATGAGTTTGATCTACTTCAGCCTAACGCCTTACCTCACCGTAGGTGGGAGCCTTTCCAGCACTGGAATGATGATGATCTACTTCAGCCTAAGTTTTCAATACAACATATTTGGCTGAATTGACTTATGAAATTCTAGTTGAAACGTCTGAATCGGCCGAAATGATATTGTTATATTTGAATATATTTTATTAATGAAAACGATTATATGAGAATGAGCTAAGATAGTCAGTCATCTTTAGCAATTTCAACCAATTCGGTCTGAAAATTAACTTCAGTCTTACTTATTTTGATGATATTACAATTCATCGTTGTGCAAAATCAATAATTACATATTTGATAAAAAAAATTGATAGGCCGGATAAATGGGCTCTATAACTTCTAATCAGTTAATAGTTGAAATTATGTTTGCACAAGTAAATATAAACGTGATTTTATGAAATCACATAACAAAATCGTTCTCACTGAAAGAAAATCATGTTTTGGATAACCTAGGCCAAAAAGTAATCAAACTCATTAACAAAATCCATAAATAAATTTTGTTTATCTCCTTTTTTTTTTATAAAAAGTAAAATTAAAGTAAATAATATCTTGTAACTACCTACTATTGTTTCTTTTTTATATTATCCCATTACAAATGAAAAAGAATGTGCACGTTTGACACATTTGCCCTTGAAAGAATTCTTCCTTTTGGGCCCTAATGGAGGTTTTTGATTGATTTATGTTCTTTGATGAATTATGAAATTTGATGCAGGAAACTTGGAATTTTAAAGGCTGGTGCTGAAATTTGAGTGGAGTAAAAGGCTGATGCTAATATATGGGTTTCACCGATTTATTTAACAAAATACAATTCAATTTCCGTGAAAATTCTCACTTAAAAGTAATTGTTTTCAACAGTATGAAAACTGAAAAGACCTCGTTTATAATTGAAAGAAATTGCCTAAATAGATAAAGTAAAAATGTAGTTTTCCCCTATGTTGTAAAAACCGGACCGGAGCGTGACCTGGAGCAATGGCCGGGTCAAGGGTCAACCCGGACCCGGCGGGTCAGCCCGGTCAACGCCTGGGAAACCCGGTCAACATACATAAAATTTTATACTCCTTAGTACTTAACATATAATAATATAAAATTAAAATAAAAGCTAATTAGTCTGCAAAATAATGAAATAATGTCGATCCTTTTTTTTTTATAACAAATAATGTTAATCCGTAAACACTGAAAAACACACATAATATTTTAAAGTAAGTTTTAATCCTAATCATGCCTGTAATGTTATTTGATATTCATCTTTTAATTTTCTAAATATATGTTCTTTCTTAAATAAACATTCATATAGATCATATACATTTTGCTAAAAGAAAATATGAACATAACTTTATTTATTACAAAATCATAAAAGTATTGTATGATTAAGTTTCAATTATATGTGGAATATTATTTAAAATATACGGTAATAATATGATAGCTTTGTAGTTAGTACGCATGAGTACATAAGAGAATAATGTGTTCAGTATAGGGGATGTTTGGATCTGATTCTCAAAACTGATTCTACTCCTTCAGGGAGCAGAAGCAGAAGCTGGAGTGTTTGGGTGAAATTCCAGAAGCACTTCTAGAGCTCTAATTTACTCTCAGAATCAGTTTTTTTAGAAGCTAGGAGGTACCAGCTTCTGAAAACTGATTCTGATTCCGCTTCTGCTTTTAGAAAAGAAGCAGAAGCAGAATCAGTTCCAAACACCCCCTAAGAAGGCTACATGTATGATAAGTCCGTATTTAGACACACATTTGATGCGTGTTGGGATCGGCTTTTGATGTTTTTCCTAGCTTTAAGGTGTTACAAGTCTCAATTTTAGCTCAAGTTATGTTTACCAGGCGTTGGTTCGAGTTTTGTGTCATTTGGAGTCAAAATCAGGAATTTAGAGTTCGGCACCGGCGCTTGAGAAGCAATCGGGATGATTCAAGATGTATTCGAGAGTAGATTGAGAGATTTGGAGGTCACCGGTAGGTTCACGATGAAGATTTGATGGCAAAAGAGCTCTAGGATTGGTTATGAGATCAAAAGAAGACGAAAAGAGCTTGAAAACGACGATTAGGATGACCTTCTGTCAATCGTTCAAGCATATCTTCTTGTAGAAACATCCAAAGAACACGATTCAAAGTCCATGTGAAAGCTAACTTCAAGGGCTACAAATCATATGGAGACACCTTTGCAAGAATCGGAGGGAAAGAAGGTGAAACCAAACGATGAAGTCAGATGATCTCTGCTGCAATTTCAGAATGATACCTTCCACCGTTTTGATCATATCTCTTAATTGGTTGATTCGAATCACATTCGGCAAATTGGGGTGGATAGATGACTTCATTATCTACAACTTTCATGAAGGAAGTATTGCCAAATTCGGAAGTTAAGTAGGCACGATCGTGACCTCAAAGTCAGGCACGATCGTGCGTGAAGAGAAAGCATCGCGGAGCTACTTCCAGTCAGGCATGATCGTGCCTGCCCAAAATGCGCGTTTTTGCTCCGGAGGCATGATCGTGCCTGGCACCGTGCCTGCCTCCAGAAATCCTAATTCAGCTCAAATTTCACCCGATCTTTCTATTTAAATAGCCTGTAAACCCCCGTTTTCGGGGGGGGGGGGGGGGGGGGGGGGGGGGGGGGGCTTAGAGAGAGTGTCTAGCAAGAATTTAAGAGGGCTTTTCAGCCTTGTTCATCAATCTTTTGGGATTCTTTGTAAGTTCCACCTTTTTAATTAATGACAATTAATTCTTTTTATTCCAATTCTATTGATTCTTCAATTATGAATTGTGAGTAGTTTTAATTAGGGATTTGAGATTGTTGAAGGGGTTGATCATGATGTATGGCTAGATTCTTGAGGGGTTAATTGCATGAATGCCGTTTAATTTGTGTTTGAATAATTTAAGTGATATCTTTTGTAACCTGGAACCGCGGCTAGAATTACAATTGCTTGTAGAATAAATTAAGCGAGATCTAATTTATTCTAGGACACATTCACACACACTTAATCGTTCGCTAAGAGATTAGTAGCGATTAAGGGGCCGTAAGCTCGCTCGTCTTGGCAATAATTTAGGATCCTGTCTAGTGCTGGACTCGGGCCGGGCGGCCCGAACCGGAACCGGCCCGGCCCGGTTACTGTGTGAACCGGCCCGGCCCGGTGGCCCGGTCCACCGGCGGTTCGGGTCGAACCGGCCCGGTGGATACCGGTTCCGGGCCCTCTATTTGGTGAACCGGCCCAGCCGGTTCGGGCCCGGTCCGGGCCGGAATAATTTTTTTTTTTATTTTTTTTTTTGAAATTTTTTTAATTTTTGGGTTGGATTAGGTATTTTGGGCCATTTGAGGTGGTTTGGGGTTGAGGGGGAGGGGTAGGGGGTTAAATAAGAGAAGCCAAAAAATCAAAAAAAAAAAAAATGGGGCGGGTGAACCGGCCCGGAACCGGCCCGGTCTGGCCCGGAACCGGCCCGGAACCGGTCACCTGCCGGTTCGGGCCCGGGCCTTCCTTTTGGTGAACCGAGGCCCGGCCGGTTCAAGGCCCGAACCGGGCCCGGCCCGAACCGAGTCCAGCCCTAATCCTGTCGCATGAGAGATCAACTTGGTTCCCTAATTTATTGTACTCTACGCCGCGAGAGCGGTAAGAACTTAGTAGTGATTAGCTAGGCTCAATTAAATTAATTTCATGTAATTAGGCCCGATTAGCCAGAAATCTGGTTACCCCGGAATCAATCCATGTTCCCTTCGTCATTAATTAGAAAGAACCCCCTAGTTTAATCGTTTTTTTCGCATTTTTATTTTCCAGCAACCAATCTCGCACGACACATTTATTTTATTTATTTTTATCGCTGAATTTAATTAATTCTTGATTCCCTTTTGTCCGTCCCTGTGGAGACGATACTCGTACTTACACCACTATATTACAATCTTTTTAAGTGCGAGAAAACTCACATCAATGCACGAAAAATCACAACTTGGTGTGGTGGTGGATAGTTGCAGTACGCTGTGATGGGGAGTAGACCCTGGATCGAATCTCACGTTGGGAATTTTGGGCTGCAGTTGAAATTCTAAAACACTCCGGTTTTCATGAGTTTTCCGGTTAATTCTGGGCCCGGGTCCGACGCGGGTTCTAGCGGGTCATTGGGTTTTTCCGGGTTCTGGCTATTTTACGGGTTGGTTACTAATCGGACCGCATTTGTGAACGGGTGTGGGCGGGTTCCGGGTCGGACTAGGTGGTCCGGGTCGGGTCTTACAACATAGGTTTTCCCAAGTGGTACTTTGTTTTTTAATACTGAATACGATAAGTACTGCCATTGTCATATCATGGCATTCATACAGTTTCGAATTTAAGGAAACCATTTTGTTTTTACCCCTTGGAGAAAATTCCGTATAACTTGTTTGATTGATGGCCTTTTCAGTTATGACATGTTATCTTGATGTTTTATTTCTCAGAGAGCAAAGAGAGGACTGCCTGCTATCACACGCTGAAGACGAGACCTGAACATGTGTATGCAATTGTATTGTCTACAACAACCATGCTAGGGGTGCACAAGTTGTACACAACTTATACACAAAATGTCGGTCACAGACAATTAGTGCGGAATTGTCAGTGGTCACAGACAAGAGTTGTCTGTGTACACAAACAACTTTTGTCTGTGTCCACATATATTTACTTTTTTGTAAAAAGTACTCTGACAGCCGTCTGACACTGACATCAGCTTGCAAATCAATCAATATATGTGATGTGCCTGTGTGCACAGACAATATTTTCATGTTGCACAAGCAATTTTTTGTCTGTGTGCACAGACAACTTTTACCACACAGACAATAGTTGTGCGTTCCACAGACAATAGTTGTCTGTGTGATCAACTTTAGTTGTCTGTGTGATCAATTTTAATTGTCTGAGTGAACAAAAAAAACTCAATTTTCTATATACATCCAAATGACGGATGTAGTTGTATGTGTAATCAATTTACATTAATTTGAATAAAATTAGAAACATAATAAAAATTTATGAAATAAGATGAATAAGTTGATTTTGTGCACATAATAAAAAAAATTGATAAATAAAGGTAGAGAAAAAGAGGATGAAGAAGGAAAGAGGAGGATGAAGAAGATAATTTTGTTGTTGTTGAGAATTTTAGAAGAGATTGGGTAAAGAGGAAAGAGGGAAAGCGGAGAGGAAGAAGAGAGAAGGAAGAGAGAACCGAGAGAGGGAGAAGAGGGATGAGGAAATGAGATTTTTTTTTTTTACTTTTATACCATGTGCAACTTGTGTACATGATGTGTATACTTAACATTTTCCTCTCTACAAAGAGAGAATCTGGCATGAAGTCATAGACTCAGTTTAAGTGGAGAATTTAGTGTTCATCCCAAAAAGATTTGGAAAATTTAATCTGTGTTTCTAATTTATTTTTCCTAATTTTGAATGTGTTATTATTTTCTAGCAATTTTTATGTTAGATGTATGCTCACCTCACTTTGCAAGGTTGACTTCATGTTCGTGTTAGTAACATGGGTATTAAAAGAAAAAAATGTTGTGATTCATTTCAATTTGAAGTTTCATGGATGGGTTAAAACTTTTTAGTTCGCAGAGCTAATTAAAAGTGATGTTTTCTCTAATTTCGATATATTGGAATTTAGAAGGAAAGAGTTTTCAAGTTCGATAAACATATAATTGGCTCTCACATTCTGTGTAATCCTTGAGTTGTAGATATTTGGATTCTATTGTATCACATACTACGTATGTATCCTTGAACGATTTTGGTACATGGTTTCATGTATGTATAACAATATAAGGCTTTGTTTGCAAACATTTAAAAGCTAAAAATAGTATTTTCAAGTGACAACTTTTACTTAAATACATATTTAAAAGCCAAAAGCTAGAATTTGCGTTTTACATTTTATATTACACAAAAATCACTTATTTTACCAAACACCACTAACTTTTACTTTTCAATTTTTTTTATCTTAAACACTATCAACTTTTACTATTTAATATTTTTTCCCAAATCACTTTAAAAATTTGAAAAGCACCTGTGAGGCTGTGAGTAGTGTTTGCAAACCAACCCTGAGGGTGAAGTTCTAATAAGAAGCAAACTATATGTGAGAAATGTTAATGAATCTTTACTGTTAGATTGAATTATATTTCAATAAAGGACTTCATGTTGCACTGAACAAATCCAACAATATAAGGTGCCATTTCACAAATACTTTTGAAAACCCCTGTGTTACACACTTACACCTCTCTAGAGCACTATGAAATTGTTTTAATGTATCATTAGACAAATTCTAATAGAACATGAAACTCCTTTAATGCAACATGTCAAACTTTAAATTTAGTGCAACATGACAAACTTTAAATTTAGTGCAAACATGAAGCTGTTTCCGATGCAACATCATAAATCCAATAACTCAGATTTATTCTCATTTATCACATTAGATGCATTTCTCGTCTGAACTAAAACCTACACGTTTCAACTTGTCATGATATGTTAATCAGTTATCAGTACTTGTCTGAAATCTTAATTTCTAATTTCAATTCAAAAATCAATCTCTACCGACTCAATCCGATCTCAAGGCCTTTAACCCTATGGTTGGCCCGGATCCGGTCTGAGCGGCCCGCTACTGTGCGGGACCAGCCCGAGCCGGGGGGGGGGGGGTATGGGGACGGGTTCGGGTTGCACCTTCTTTGGAATCGGCCCGGTCCGGACCCTTTTTTTCCCAATTTTTTTGGGTGCTAGGCGGGTTGGGCTCGGTGTTTTGGGGGTGGGGGGTTGGAATTAATTAGAAAAGCGCACACACACACACACACACACACACACACACACACACATATATATAACCCCACCCGAGCCCGGCCCGGCCCGGCCCGGTGGAATCCCGGGTCGGTTCCGGGCCTTTACTCACACCCAAAAAGCCCGATTTGGACCGGCCCGGAACCAGTCCATGCCTATTTAATTCTTAATTTGGCACATTGAAGGGCCAAAGGTCAATAGAAATTCAGTCCTACTCCAAAAGTGAAAGAATAAGTATGCTCTAAACAATAGGAATGACCAAATAGTCATGTCCCCAAATGTAGAATATTTTCTATATGGTTTTCGTTTCTATCATGTTGAATAAAAGTTGATTCTAATTCAAACAGTTTCATACTTTCATATATATTGGGTTGGTAAAGAGCATTTAAATGTGGTGTAACCTGTTGACATATGGCAGAACAATTCATTAATGGTGACAACTCCGGTATCCTCCTAAAATTGGAGTACCGTACCTACCATTCATTTGATTGGACCACATTACTTTATCATTTTTAATTTAGATTTAAATAATTAACTGCTACATTTTCATTGGTCCATTTGGACAAAGGTATGGTACCTTATGGGTACCATAGAATCTACCTTCATTAATTGTTATTTTGATTCACTACAATATTACTACCCCATCATCTTCAAACAGCTGGGTTTGATTCACTGTTATAAACATCAGAATGAACACCCAAACACCAGTAATTATAAATGATAATAAAAAACAAAATAAAAATCTCCTCACAGAAATTCTTAGAATCAGCTCGTTTGTCAAACACCACCCTCACACATATATTAGCACACTATCTATAC